GAGCTAGCTGAAGCTCCTTTCCCCCTTTGGTCTTAAACGTTGTCTCTATTTTGGGAAATGTATTTCACGTTTATTTGCCCACGTTCCCACCCCAGACCACGTTTTTAGAGTGATTTCCCACTCTCTCCATCCTCTTTCTCTCCCTCTTTTGCCCAGCATGCCCATTTTCGTTTCTTCTTACCAGAATCTAATCAGCAATGGGACACACACACACAATTATAATGCCCTGTGAAGCCGAACTGGGTTCTTTCCACCCTCACTGTGAGTTCTGAACTGGCCAGGGCTCCCCAGCACCCAGAAGGCTACATGAAGTTCACCACCCTCTGACCTCAGTGCCACCTCCTACTGTCACCTCCTTCTGGCAGTCAGGAGAGATATGTGGCAAGCCTCGTGACTGACTTGTTCTCCCTTTGCTAAGTCCAGTCCAGTCCAAGAATCCCATTTTGGGGTCTCACTAAGAGAAAGCCCATCAGATTCTACATTTATGGGTCCCAAGAGATTGTCAGAAACAGAGGGTAGACTTTTAATGCCTGGGATGACGCGAGATGTAAAAGATGGCAGTTCTCATGCATTCTCCATTACGATGTCTCATGGTCCTTAACAGGTAGAGTGTCTCACCCAAGGTCACACAGCTGGTAGATTGCAAGTTTTCTGACCTCAAGCCGCATGGCCTTTCGGTATCACCCACAGTTGCCTTAGGTCTATGTTTCCAGGGCCAAAGAATCAAGAAGATTGTCAAATTGTTCTTAGAATCATGATAGAAATAAGATACATAAAAGCACTCTCAGGTTCCTCTTGCCTTTGACCTGGAGTTGCCCCAGCGACTATTTAAACGAGTGCTTCCATTTACCTTGTCCAGAGAATTTTACAGGGACAGAAACCTGATGTGGGGCTACCCACGGATGGGCCTCCATTCATGTTGTTCATTAGACTCTTCCCATGCAGCCTCCTGAGGCCTAAGTCCCCAACCAATCCCCACTAAAGTCCAAACACCACCCACAGCGAGAGTCAAGCTGATAGCCGTACTTCCATTGGCCCATCTTCCACCCACAGCTTCCTTTGGAAGAAATATAACCCTCTTTGTCCAGTTTGTCAAGCTCCCTCTTCAACAGAATCACAGAAGCATCAAAATGGGTTGGCTACAGAATCTCCTAAGAAACTACAGTCCTCCCTCCCTCAAACTCCTGAAGCCTGGCAGCCCTCAAGTTGCACAGATGGAGTGGACAGAAGGCAAGTCCAAAGGTGTTGCAGTTGATTTCAACAGCATCCTCACCCCTTCAACCCTCTTCTGCTCAAACCTGAGATGGTTGGCCAATTGAGGGCAGTGGGGTTCTCTGAAGAAGTAACATGTGTTGAAAAACCATTGCCCGATATAAGCTCTGCCCCAGACACCTTGCTAGGCTGAGCATCCTTTACCTCTTTTACATGGCACGATTCTGAGAGGTGAGTATCATCCCCATCTTACAGATGAGAGAATGGAAACGGGGTGGTTAAGATGACTGTGTTAAAAAGGTAACACAGCTGGTGAGGGGCACAGCCAGAAATCCAACTTAAATCCACCTGGTCCAAAAGTCATGGAGCTTCCCTGTCTGGGACATTTCTTCCTCCACCTCTCATATCTCCAGATTTTCTGACTGTCCTTCATACAAGTGTGGTTCCCTTCTTCATGCAGTTATATATCCTATCTCTCAAATGTCCTCCTCTCCATGCTCAGATAAATACATCCTTCTTCATGAAGCTCAGCTAAAACTCAGGTCTACCATTAAGGTCTTAGTACTGCTTAGTCTCTGATACCAGCATACCCAGGTTCACTCAGTACCTAAGCACGTGGGCTACTCCCACATGTGTGTGGCACAGAGTTAGGGGTGCAAGCTTCCCAAATGTGGCATTTCAGAACTTCACATTGAAGAGGAGTAGATACGGTTTGAAAACAGTATAGCTAATATAATAATTGCTTGGGCTTCTTTTTGGTTATAATAATGTATTTTAAAAACTTTAAACAACATTCAAAGAAGAGCATGATATTGTTATATTTATCACAAGGGGACATGGATTTTGAAAAAGAAAAGGTTATTGAAAAACTAGTCCACACTGTTATAGGAATTTAAAAATTTTCCGATGCCCTTTTATTATTTTCTTCTTGTGCCTGTCATATCTCCCCTAACTGTACTGCAAAAGTCTTGCAGGATGGAGACTGACTATGAATTCTTTCTTCTTTGTGTTTTTCCTGAGGGTCTTCACCCAGTAGATACTCCATAAACAGGTCACCCAATCTGTTCTCAAGCATGATTTGTTTCTGGTTCCTGAGGGACATTTTTTGCTATTCAGTCAAATCTGCTCAGCCTAACTAAATAAAGGATCTGGGTTGGTTTTCAAGCAAAAAAGAGGTGATTTGAAGGAGAGGAGAGGAGATTAAAAGAACAGAAACCAGCACGATACAATGTCATTAATTGGAATCTACCATCTCAGGAGGGCTGTGCTAGAGTTTAGCCCTTGAACTCCACTAAATAATTTTCTTTGTTAATTCACATCAGTGACAAAATTGCTCTGGAACATGTAATATTCATAAGGAAACAAACTAGTGCTGAATCCCCATAAAGCACATAAAAAAGAAAGAGGTATGCTTAGGCGCCTACTATGTGCCAGGGTCTTTTTTTTTTTTTTTTTGGTGGGCGGGGGGTGTGGTCAGGGAGATCTCACTCTGTTATTCAGGCTGGAATACAGTGGTGCAATCTCAACTCACTGCAACCTTCGCCTCCCAGGTTCAGGTGATTCTCGTGCCCCAGCCTCCTGAGTAGCTGGGATTACAGGAGCCTGCCACCATGCCCAGCTTTTTTTTTTTTTTTTTTTTTTTTGATTTTTAGTACAGACAGGGTTTCACGATGTTGGGCAGGCTGGTCTCGAACTCCTGACCTCAACTGATTCGCCTGCCTTGGTCTCCCAAAGTGTTGGTGTTACAGGCATAAGCCAAGGTCCCTCGCCTGTACCAGGTTCTAATCACACATTATTTCTAAGTCAGCCCAATTCAAACCACCAATGGGTTGTTGTTATCTCCAGTATCCATCAAAGCAAGATCTACTTTTGAGCAGTCCCTTGATAGTCTAATTCTAGTTGTCTAGACTTTAAAATCGAGGGAAACGCTTTCAGCTGAAACTGCCTACCCCTTTTAATAGAGGTTTTGCAGGAAGACTGTAGTATGCAACAAAGTGCTTTCTTCCTTAGATGATAAACTTTGCGAGTTGGGGTGGGGCAGGTTTAAAGGAAAAATCAGATCTTTGGGGAAAGAAAGTTGAGCGATTTAGGTTGTCACAATGGGACCTCTTAACTCCCACTCTGTGGAAGACTGGCAAATACTTGAGTCATCCACTCCAAGTGTCTCTTCTCCAGCTTTTTCCAGATTCCAATCACATTCACCACAAAGAAAACCGAGTTTGCATTTTAAAGCTTAGATTGAGTTCCTCGTCCAAGGGGAAATTAACCGGAGGTGTCACTTCAGTACCCATCTCTCATCAAAGAGAAACTGCTTCTGAAAGAGAAAGTATCATGGAGGTTTATTTAAAATCACAGAAAGGTAGGGCTGGAAGAGAAACCTATTAATAGTTATGTCACTAATGCGGAAAGTGAGGAAAATGACTTGTCCAAGTTATATCAGAGTGGACCCCAGGCAAGACTCAGGTGCCTCTGCTGTCAGCTCACCTTTCAAGTTTCTAGTCCCCACTCACACCCACTGAGAGCAGAGACCAATTTACCTGAGGCAGAAGGTGCTGCACGCGTTCTTGTCAAATTTGAAGGGACTGAGGAGGAATCTCAGTAAGTTTGTTTACACTGGGGGCCTGGAGAGCTTCGGGAAAATAGCCAGAACCAAAACGGACCCGTCAGCAGACGCAGACACACACAAAGTGACACGGACACAGAAACAGAAGCTGAGCTGGGCAGAGCGGGCAGCGGCGGACCCACCTCGCACGGCCGCCCCCCGCCAGCGCCAGGTGCAGGGCTCGCAGCGGCCCAGCAGAGGGCGCGCCGCCCCCAGGGAGCCGAGCGGCGGCCGCGCTGAGCCGGGAGGACTAGGGGAGCCGCAGGCGAGCCAGACGCGCCCCTGAGGCTAGGCCACTCAGGGTGCAGGACCCGGCCAAGGAGGAGGAAGATGGTGAGGAGCGGACCCCCCTCGTGGGCCCGAAGGACAGACAGGCAGGAGTGCTTCCTAAGAATTACATCACGCTGCGCAACGTTGCGGTTCTCGGACTCCCTGGTGCAAAGAGGGGTGGGGTAGGGGCTGTGTGTGTGTGTGTGTGTGTGTGTGTGTGTGTGTGTGTGTGTTGGGGGGAGGGGACTTAGATCAAGAGCCCGGGAGAGAAGAAGGCGAGACGCGCCCGGGGAAAACGCTCCATGCACATGGAGAAATTTCTGGCTCCAATCTGCATGCACCGAGAAACGAGCCCCCAGCACTTCCCCGTTGCTCCCCTCCCAGTGCAAAGCACCCAGCTAGTGAGAAACCCTCCAGCCCCCACCTCGAGCACCGCCCCCCCAACACCGGCTCTGCACCCTCCAGCCCGGCTCCAGCGCCGCCGCGAGCTTTCCCCAGGACTGGCCCTGGCGGGGCGCCTAGAGCCCCAGTTGCATTGCTCCAGGAGAAAGGAGGGGGGCGGTGCATTTTGCAGGAGGAGGAGAAGGGGGGTGGGTGGTGGGGGAGAGAGAAAATTGCGCGGAGACCTGCCAAGCGCCACCGCCGCCACCACCGCCGCTGCCGCCGCCGCCGCCGCCGCCGCCGCCGCCTGTGAGCTCCGGCGGGCAGCCGGACTGTCGGCTTCCCGGGGCATCTGGGTCCGGCGGGGCACAGCCCTGGGCGCTGCCGAAGCCGCCGCCGCCGCCTCCGCGGCGAGTACAGGCGGCTTCCCCCGGAGCCTCTGCAGCTCCAGCTCCTCGGGGGTGGAGAAGTGGGGGGTGGGGTTGTTGTTTGGGGGGAAGAAGGGGGAGGGGGCAACGCCGAGAGAGTCAGTGGTTTCCATGGTGATGGAGCTGAAAGTGCAGGAAATTTAAAGGCTTGGACCCTGCGAGACAGACAAACCGGTGCCAACGTGCGCGGACGCCGCCGCCGCCGCCGCCGCTGGAGTCCGCCGGGCAGAGCCGGCCGCGGAGCCCGGAGCAGGCGGAGGGAAGTGCCCCTAGGACCAGCTCAGCCAGCGGCGCTTGCACAGAGCGGCAGGACGAAGAGCAGCGAGAGGAGGAGGGGAGAGCGGCTCGTCCACGCGCCCTGCGCCGCCGCCGGCCCGGGAAGGCAGCGAGGAGCCGGCGCCTCCCGCGCCCCGCGGTCGCCCTGGAGTAATTTCGGATGCCCCGCCGCGGCCGCCTTCCCTAGTAGACCCGGGAGAGGAGTTGCGGCCAACTTGTGTGCCTTTCTTCCGCTCCGGTGGGAGCCGGCGCTGCGCGAAGGGCTCTCCCGGCGGCTCATGCTGCCGGCCCTGCGCCTGCCCAGCCTCTGGTGAGCCGCCTCCGGAGAGACGGGGGAGCGCGGTGGCGCCGCGGGCTCGGCGTGCTCTCCTCCGGGGACGTGGGACGAAGCAGCAGCCCCGGGCGCGCGCCGGAGGCATGGAGCGCTGCCCCAGCCTAGGGGTCACCCTCTACGCCCTGGTGGTGGTCCTGGGGCTGCGGGCGACACCGGCCGGCGGCCAGCACTATCTCCACATCCGCCCGGCGCCCAGCGACAACCTGCCCCTGGTGGACCTCATCGAACACCCAGACCCTATATTTGACCCCAAGGAGAAGGATCTGAACGAGACGCTGCTGCGCTCGCTGCTCGGGGGCCACTACGACCCGGGCTTCATGGCCACCTCGCCCCCCGAGGACCGGCCCGGCGGGGGCGGGGGTGCGGCTGGGGGCGCGGAGGACCTGGCGGAGCTGGACCAGCTGCTGCGGCAGCGGCCGTCGGGGGCCATGCCGAGCGAGATCAAAGGGCTGGAGTTCTCCGAGGGCTTGGCCCAGGGCAAGAAGCAGCGCCTGAGCAAGAAGCTGCGGAGGAAGTTACAGATGTGGCTGTGGTCGCAGACGTTCTGCCCAGTGCTGTACGCGTGGAACGACCTGGGCAGCCGCTTTTGGCCGCGCTACGTGAAGGTGGGCAGCTGCTTCAGTAAGCGCTCGTGCTCCGTGCCCGAGGGCATGGTGTGCAAGCCGTCCAAGTCCGTGCACCTCACGGTGCTGCGGTGGCGCTGTCAGCGGCGCGGGGGCCAGCGCTGCGGCTGGATTCCCATCCAGTACCCCATCATTTCCGAGTGCAAGTGCTCGTGCTAGAACTCGGGGGCCCCCTGCCCGCACCCGGACACTTGATCGATCCCCACCGACGCCCCCTGCACCGCCTCCAACCAGTTCCACCACCCTCTAGCGAGGGTTTTCAATGAACTTTTTTTTTTTTTTTTTTTTTTTTTGGGCTACAGAGACCTAGCTTTCTGGTTCATGTAATGCACTGTTTAACTGTGTAGGAATGTATATGTGTGTGTATATACGGTCCCAGTTTTAATTTACTTATTAAAAGGTCAGTATTATACGTTAAAAGTTACCGGCTTCTACTGTATTTTTAAAAAAAAAAGTAAGCAAAAGGAAAAAAAAAGAACAGAGAAAAGAGAGACTTATTCTGGTTGTTGCTAATAATGTTAACCTGCTATTTATATTCCAGTGCCCTTCGCATGGCGAAGCAGGGGGGAAAAGTTATTTTTTTCTTAAAGTACAAAGAGACGGGGGAACTTTTGTAGAGGACTTTTTAAAAGCTATTTTCCATTCTTCGGAAAGTGTTTTGGTTTTCCTTGGACCTCGAAGAAGCTATAGAGTTCAATGTTATTTTACAGTTATTGTAAATATAGAGAACAAATGGAATGACTAATCATTGTAAATTAAGAGTATCTGCTATTTATTCTTTATAATATCCCGTGTAGTAAATGAGAAAGAAGTGCAGAGCAGGATTAAAGAAAACCACTAAAACCGACTGGGCTCCACACTGATTTTCTGTGTTGGTGATTGATGGGGGGTGGGAGGGCGTGGGAGGGGGCGGGTAGGGGATGCTGCTGTGCCTCCTACCCGGTTGGGGAAGGGGCTCATCCCCTCGGACTCACCTCCTGTGGTATGATAGAGGTGACTTAGTGTTTTGAGGGCGGGGGGTGGCGATATTCTCTAACCCCTCACTAAAACATCACGTGGCCTCCGCCAAGTCTCCTAGCTTTTCCCCCTATGTCACCAAAGCTCGGGCCTGTAGTGACCTCGACACCCAGCCGGCCCCCTGGAGCTGACCCCAGGCTGGGGCGAGGGGCGGGGGGAGGGTGGGCGGCCGCTTTGTCCTGCCTGACAGGCCCTTCACAATGGGGACACGTGTCTTTCACACCTACCCTGGGGGCGGAGTGCCGCTGAAACTTGACCCCCGAGGAATGGGGAGGGGGGGAGATCAGAGCGCGCCCACCCAGATCCCGCCACCCCTCCCGCCTCGTACCCCCCACCTCAATATCCAGCCCATGTTAACCCTTTGCATGCCCGGAAGCTGCGGTGGTGCGAGCTGAGGCAATCCCTTGGAATCAACAAGGCTCACAGCCTCCGGGATCTTGCAGGTCCGAGCCCCGAAATCCCAGGCCCTCGGCGGGAGGTGCTGGGGATATCAGGGAGATTTGACACTAGCCTCCCCTCTCCCCGGGGACCTAAGGAAGACTGAAGGCCGTGGTTTCGGAGGGGTCCGAAATCTGGGTGAAAATCACCTCTGGCATCTGCTTTGGGGAAGAGGGTATGCCCGTGCTCTGGGCACTTTCTCCCCTTGAGGGGTGGGGAGGAGGGAGAAATCGGAATCGGAATCTTTGCGCTTTAAGATTAGATAGGGGCAGAAGGCACGTAACCCCTTAAAGGGACGTGCAAAACATCACTCCCACCCCACCCCTTAAAAAGCCAACTCCTTGGGACAGACGCCTGACTCTCGCATGCGTCCCTCCGCCTCAGTCCCCAGTGGCGCCCGTCCGCACAGCTCCACGTGGGCCAGCTTCCTGACACTGCTCAGCGCTCCCTTTATTTATCTTGGACTCCAAAGTCGCTCTCCTTTGCTCCCTCCCCACCTCCCTGCCACCTCTCCGCGCCTCCCTCCCGGCGTTCCTCCCACCCCACCCCCTCACCCCCCTAACCCCCAAGTCCGGAGTCCCGGCGAATCTATGCTAATTATTTCAAACCTGCGCCTAGTCCTCAGCGCAGTCTCAATGCCCCCGGCCCCGCCCGCCCTGTCCCTCCAGCCGGGCGCTTTCTTCCCTCCCGACGCAGCCTCGATGGCTCCTCATTTCAATAGCCTGGCCCCGGAGCCGAGCCCCCTCCCCGGCGCTGCCTCCGTCAGCCGTGGGACAGACGTTAGGGTATTCATTAACTGAGAGCCGAGGAATAACGGCATTATTCCCCCCAGAGAGGGCACCCTGCCCCCGCGACTATCTGAGGCTTCATTGTAAAAGGATTAAAAGTTAAAGACCTCCATCTTATGATTCTTTCATTTAATCTTCCTGGCGCCTGGGAGACATGCTCGATGGATGATGGCTTTTAAAATATTCTTAATGTCGGCTACCTTAAGACTCCAAGCTGGGCAAACAAACGTAATTTATTTCCAGAAGAAAGGGGATATTGAGATGTTTAAGTTTATGAACTGCCGTCCCCATGTATATTTGTTAAGTTCTGACAAATACCCAAATAACGTTAAAATCAGCCATTCATCACTTATGAATTTATGCAAAACTTTCTGTGCCCGGGGCCAATATTTTTTTAGACAGAGTTTCACTTGCGAGGGGCGGACGTGGTGGGGAGTGGGGAAGAGGAGGGGTCTTATGCGAGGGGGGCGAAAGCAAGAATTTTCATGCCTGGTAAACACGCGAATTATGCGAGGAGAGTTATTCCCAGCTGGGCGGGCAGCCAAAACTCGGAGAGCGCGCCGAGGCCAGCGCCCCCACCCCCACGTTGGCAATGTCATTGGATTACAATGCGAGGTCTTCCCCTCCGCGACGCCCCCTCCTCCCTCCGCGGGCCCGCCCGCCCGCGCCCCTCCTCCCCACCCCTGCCCACTTGGAAAACCCGCCCGCAGCCGGCGAGCTTCTCGGCTTTCAGAGCGGGAGCCGGTGTGAGCTGGGAGGACGCGGGCTGCAGACGTGACCGGCGACAGACAGACCACCGGATGCACAGAACCAGAGAGCAGGCCCGAAGCCGCTGCGGGCGCGGGAGAGGACCCAGCGGGACCCAGACAGTCCCAGAAGCGAACGAAGGAAGTGCTGGTCCTGGAACCTTGTGCCTAATGCACAGTCGGTTACCTCTCCATGATTATTGATGCCGATAATACTAATAATAGCATCAACGCGGAAAGGAGATGGCTCTGGGTAAATAGGCAAGAAAACTGTCCTCTTCGGTCATCCAGTGCCTATCTCCTGTAAGGAGGACAATTGATCTAGGTGACTTCTGTGGTTCTGACACCTGTGTCTATGAATTTATGCAGCTGCTGAGGGTCCGCGCCTCCCCAGGGTGGAGATTTATAACTCTTACAGATACATACATGTCAACTTTTTCAAATCCTGGAAGAGAACGGCAGGGTTTCCACCAACCCATTCCTCCCACTATAATTTTGAGAATTCACTCATCAATCACCTATTTGCAAGCCTCCCGTTTATTCCTTCCTTCCACTTTCAGTGTCCCCCGCCTCCACACACACACACACACACTCTCTCTCTCTCTCTGCACACAAGAGCAAACTGAGGCCCAATGACCACACTGAGAGGGAAAGCCAGCCCTCTCAACGGAGGGTCCTCTGGCTCCCAGAGTCTGGGAAGGGGATTTAGTTCTCTGCAGAGATGGAGAAGGCCAGGGGTCCATTATCAGTCTTGCTTCTGAGACTCCCTGGGAAAGGGGGTTGAAGTTTGGTGGCAGCTGCAAGAAGAAGCTGGCTGCCTATTAAGAGCTCTTAGCTGTGCTCGATGGGGACTACAGAGGGAGGGCCCAGCCCATATTGGTATTTTGAAGGGGGTGATTCATCCTTTTTCTTTAATGCTCTTGGAATGTCAGAGCTGGAGGGGAGCTTTGATTCCAATGCCCACTGCTCAATTTACCGATGAGAAGACTAAGACCTCAGCAGCCACTTGCTAAAGATCACGCAGATCTTTAGCTGTTTTAAACAGTTGAGATTGGCTAGGTGGTGCCTGTCTCGTGAGCCTTATCTTGGTTCTTTTTTTCTTTGTTTTCTTTTTTCTTTGCTTTTTTTTTTTTTTTAATTGATGGGAGTGAGTTCTCCCTAAAGTTGACATAGTAACAACTAATCATCAGCAAGTGGATCAATCCTTCTGTTGTGCCTGTTTAGCAGGTGTTTATTAATGGTTTGTGATGTGCCAAGCAGTGTGTTAGGCCTTTACACTCATTTTGATCTAAGGCCTCTAGTGTACAAATAAGGAAACTGAAGGTCAGAGAGTTTAAGCATCTTCTCCAATGCCTCACAGTGAGTGAGACGGTTACAGTTCAAAATCAAAACTGACACCACCAAAGCCTATGCTTCTTCCAAATATTCTTCCTTCCTTTAAGGACTTGAACACCAATCTTGGGAGACAAAATGCATGCCACGCTGTGAGCTGGTGAGTCTCAAGTCAAGCTCTGTAGCGGTTCATAACTGGTAAGCCACACAAAAAGATATTTGCACACCCTGTTATGTGCCAGCACCTCCCACTTCCTCCCCCCACACCTCCCCAAGGAAGTTACAGTGCAATAGAGGAGATAAGAAATGAAGAACTGGTGGCTGGGTGCAGTGGCATACACCTGCAACCTCAGCAATTTGGGAGTCCGAGGCAGGAGGATTGCTTGAGGCCAGAGTTCAAAATCAGCCTGGGCAACTTCATGTCTACAAAAAGTTTAAAAACTAGCCAGGCATGGTGACATATGTCTGTAGTCCTAGCTACTCAGGAGACTGAAGCAGGAGGATCTCTTGAGTCCAGGAATTCAAGGCTGTGGTGAGCTGTGACCTGACTGTACTCCAGCCTGGGCAACAGAGTGAAGCTCTGTCTCTTAACAACAACAAAAAAAAAATTAATAAAAGAACTGGGTAAGAGATAAAAGAGGAGGCAAAGCATCAAATAAACCTGGGCTGGAAAAAGGAGGGCTCACAGCCAGAGAAGACATTTGACTGAAGCCTCAAAGAACAGACTGGATGTCAACCCACTGAAGTGAGGGTGGAGAAAGCGGTATATATTAATATAATCGAAGACATGGTGCTGGAAAAGTATGTGTGTGTTTGGGAAATAGCTCAAACAAACTTTAGCATAGGATGGATCTATGCTGAGAAGAGCAAGCAATAAGATTTGAAAAGCAGGTTGAAGCCAAATTATGGAGGATATTGAATGCCAACTAAGGGAACAGTGACAGGAAGCCATTGAGAGCTCTTAAATAGGGCAGGAACCCCATTAGGACACTGCCACAAAATGAATTCTTTATTCACTCAGTAAATATTTTTGAGCACTGTTCTGGTTATCCATTGGTATGTAACGTGCTACCCCAAAATGAATAATCTTAAAAAACCATTTTATTTTGTTCATGATTCTGTGAGTGAGCAATTTGGGAAGGGCTCTGCTGGACAATTCATCTCTTATGCTCATGATGTCAGCTGAGAGCTGGAGGATCCACTTCCAAAATGGCTTCTAGCACTCAGCTGCCAACTAGGAGCTCAGACGGAATACTGGCCAGAGCATCTACAAGGGACTTCTCCATATGGCTTGGATTTTCCCACAGTCTGGTGGCAGCTCAGGCTAATTGGACCTACATGGTAGCTCACGGCCCTGAGAGAAAGTGTTCCAAGAGGCCTGAAGGGAAGGTGCAGTGCTTCTTGTGACATAACCTCCAAAAGTCCCAAAACATTGTTTCCACTTTAGCCTATTAGTTAAGCAAGTTTCTAAGACCAGCCCAGATTCAAGAGGAAGGAAATTAGACATCACCTCTCAATAGGAGGAG